CTCACCTGAACTGTTGTAACAGTCTTCTAACTGGTCTCCTTACCACGTTTTCATCCTACAATCCATTCATTACATAGCAGTAAATGTGACAATATTAAAACACAAATCAGATCACGTCAATGTGGAACTTTCATTCAGTCAATGGCTTTGACTTTATACTTAGAGTAAAATCCCAACTCCTTACAAAGATCTGAACAATCTGGCCCCAGATTACTTCTTCTCTTTCTTATACTCAAGATTCTCACCCCCATTAATTAGCTGGCTTTGCCTAATTCTTTCTTATCCTTCAAGCCTCAGATTCAAAGTCATATTTTCACAAAAAACTTGTACATAAATGTTCATACCAGCATTATTCATAATACCCCAAAAATGGAAATAACTCAAATGTCCATCAATTGACAAAAAAACACAATGTGGTTTATCTATACAATGGAATATTATTCAACTTTTAAAATGAATGAATTTCTGAGACATTCTACAACATGGATGAACCTGGAAGACATTATGCTGAAATGAAATAAGCCAGACACAAAACGACAAATATTGTATGATTCATTCTGCTTATATGAGGTACCTAGAATTGACAAATTACTTAATTGTATGACACAACTCCATATATTTTAAACCTTGATTCTCCTCTTCTACTCACATACTTAAGTACTGAGGGCCATAGAACATACCCATGCTAGTTTTGTGCAGTTTCATGTCCTAATGCTGGGTCAGCAGACCCAGTAAGCAGAAGGAATATTCCTGGAAGCAATTCCTATACCAGGAATGGCTAGCAGAAACTTAACTATATACAGAAGTCACTGTGAATCCATAACTATATCCCACTTAATGCAAACAAAATGGGTCTTCAACTCAATCTCAGCTTAGCCAAATTCCCAAAAATGAAGCCACTCCAACACCACCGAAACAAGAGAAAGCCTGAGAGAGGGGTGGCTAGCATGCAAAAAGACTGGTTTTAACCAATTGCCATCAAAATAGCTTACTTTTGAAATTTTCACATAAAGACTATGTGACCACATTATAGGACCCCTCCCAGATGCCTGGAACCTGGCCTCCCTCAGATCTCATTGGGTCCCTTATCAACTCTTCCTATCTAGTGTAATAGTCTGGCCCCACCCTTCCCCCATGAGCCATCTTGGAGCATGGACTGTGATCCTTCTAAAACATAAATTACATTAGATCACCTTATTTAAAACCCTTCAAATGCTTCCCATTACATGTAGAATAAAATTTGAACTTAACCATAATGGTACAAGGCCACATATGATCGAGTCCCTGACTCCCTCTTTACCCTTATCACCTACTACTCTCCTCACTACCTTCTGGGAACATCAGCCTTCTTTCACAAATGCACCAAATTTGCTTCTGCCTAATGACCATTGTTGCATTTGAAAACTCTTCCTCACCCCAGGTCTAAGCACCCGATTTTATTCATTTTTTCATCATCCAAGATTCAGTCCAAATGTCACCACTCCAGAGGGCTCCATGACCACTGTGATTCTCTTTCACATTACCCGGCTTTATTTTCTTAACATCTCTTGTATTTTGAACTCATTTGTTCAATTGTTTCCTTGTTCTATCTCCCCACAGCAGAATAAAATTCCATATGTGCAGGAAACTTGTCTATATTATGGAATAAGGTATCTTCAACCACTACACCAGTGCCTATCATACGCCCTACAAAATAAATATTTGTTGAGAGGATGTATGTTTGAATGAACTCCAAATGAAATAATTTTGGCTTCTTCTCTCTTAGAGAGAAGAAAGCAGATCCCCAGTGGCCTGGTAGGCCCTGAGTCTGGGGTTGAATCATGGGGTGACCTTGGCCTCATTTGTCTTCTGGCCTCTGCTGCCTGGGTCACTGAGACCTGCTGGAGGACAGCGGGTGGTTCTGTAGAATGGAGGACAATGGGTGAGCCATCACTTCACAGGGGACCTCAAACTAAGAGGTCACCAATTAGAAACCAACAAAATTTGTTTCTTTATTTGTTGACTTTCATGAAAACATTCTGCATGTTTATCACTATAAATAATTTAATTTGTGGGTTTCTGAGAAGGTAGTAGGAGTATAGGGATTAAGAATGTGGGATCTGAAGTCAGATTACTTCTCTTCCAATAGTGGGTGTGTCATGTAGTGACTTGGCCTTGTAAAGTCATTTAACTTTTCACTTTTGAAACCCCTTTCCTTGGTAGTAAAAGAAAAAAAAATGAAGACAACACAATATCTGCATCATAAGGTGTTACGGAGATTAAGTGATGCTAAAGGGTTTGTACTGTGCTCATTGCCCATAAGTGTTCCCTAAACATTAGCTCCTTTGCTGTTATACTTGTTTTCAGGACTTCCAGCCACCAGAAGTTATGAGTAAAAGCACGGCCAGTATGACAATGTCTCGTTCACCTTTCTTAAAGCTGAGCCACGTGTTAATATTAACAAGTAAGTTGTATCAGCAGCACAGGAACGTTTGTAAGATTCTCACCATGGTAACATATTTAGTGTTTGCTCATTGAGGATCTAACTTTGACCCTAAATTGGACACTTCCGCTATTTGCTTAAACATGGATTTGAATCTTGCCATTGTTTTTAGAATCTGTGAGAGCTCCCTGTTAGTAGTATATACTTATAATCACAGACAGAATTAAAATACCAACAAAATGAAGCAGGAAACATAAGTCTGCACAAATCCTGCTGTGCAAGTCTTCCCTGTGGCAGATCTGTGGCTGCAGGCCCAGCTGCAGTTTGGGTACAGGCTGTAGAGCACCTGGGAGCACTGTGCCTCCACTGCACAGAGGTAGGTGGCTGAGTCTTCCAGTTGGGAGGCTGTGATGAGGAGGGTACTATACAGTTCCTTAGAATTCATTGTAGAGTTTAATCTTCCATTCTGCTTAATCCCTGAAGTCAGGAAAAACAGACTGATAAGGCCACCCCCAGGATTCTGTCGGAACCACTGCACACGGTTCACTATGGTAGAAAAATTGCACCTCAGAGTATAGCTGGTTCCCTCCTGGAGGCTCAGGGCTGAAGGACTCTGCTCCACATTCACCCCTCGCACCCCTGCTTGGAAAGAGAAAAACAAATGCATATGATGTTACTGGGGAGTGATTGATCCAGTTTCTACACCTCGAAAATATCCCAAGAAACACCCACGAGGTGGGACGTAGGACCCTCTAGGAGCTCTGTGTCAGCTCCCCCTCCCCTCCCTCCCACTGTCAGCTGTGGAACACTCCCCAGTCCCCCATCTGGGACGCCCCAACTCACAGCAAACCTGGACCCACAGAAGCCCCAGCAGAGCTCCCCAGTGTCTCCACATGACCCCTTGCCCACTTGCTAAGTTGCCTTCACCCCTGATCTGGAGGGTGTCAAGTCTCGAGTCCAGGCAAATTCTGTTCTTACAGTCAGTATGTTCCACCAGAATCACTGAGCACCAATCACACACACACCTGAGCTTTGTCATTTTGCTTCTTAACAGGAAACTCCACCCATGAGGGCCCAACCCGGGCTGAGTGTGTAATGTCTCTCGGGTGTGTGGATGTGGTGGGGCAGGGGAAGCAGTAAAGTGACATATCCAACATTCCCAGTCTTCTTTTGAGAACTGCTTTGGGAAGGAGAGTTTGAAAGTTTGGATGGAGAGTAAGAAACATAAGAAGGCATCTCAGAGGGAAATAGGGCATCATCTGGGTCAACACATCCTGGAAGATCATGGTTTCAGGGACCCTGCTTTCTAAACAAGAATCAAGATACATAGGTTGATAGATAATTTGAGAATTTATTTATATGGAATGTTTAACAAAGGAATACTGTTTCATGTTACACATCATTTTGTTAATCTCCTTTGTTAGAAAAGTAAATACAAATAAAAGAAATTAGACTAGTTTTATAAATCTAGAAAATATAGATTTATATTTATACATGAACTTAGCATATGTCTAAAATAAGACTTTGCTTGGGAGGAAAGGAAATAGGACATGTATAGAATGTCCACCGTGATCTCATTCCCACCTCCTCTCTTCTCTCATCCAACCTTTTCCCCCACATCCTGCACACCCACATGGCTGATTCTGCTCTGTGAACATGAAGTGAGGGCCACACTTTGCAGTTCAAGCAAAATGTTTCTCCTTTTCCTCCTAGTCTTGTCTTATACCTCTCCCTTTTCTCCTCTCTCTATTTATATGCCATATTTCCCTCATTTCTTTGTCTTTTTCCTCAGAGGAGATATAGGAGAAAAAATTTCATCAGGAGTATTAGAGTAACTTCTAAGTCTGTGGAGTAGAAGTTCATTTTAAGAATTTTTAGTTATAAAAATTAGGAAAAAAGGAAATAGATCATATAGACATTTTCTACTGGAGCCCCCAGTCCCACTTAGCTCTAACAGATTTCTACTCTCAACTCCACTTCAATAATCACCTCTGTCATGTTATCATAGCCCGAGCCTTTGTCAGCCTGATCCAGTGACAGACTTATAGAAGGAAATCTGAGCTCCATCTTTTTGAGCTTATGTTAAAATGGAATAGCTGAGTAAATGACAGGAGCATTCAGTAAATATTCTCCCTGTATGCTTAGTGATTTCCTTTTATCACGTTTTCCTCAGTCCCTTCCTCTAACTGTTGTTAACCTTCATCTCCCCATTCAGTTTGTCAAATAGTCACACACAGATGGGATTATGTAGGACCTTAAAAAAGTTCTTCAGTTAGAGTAAAGCCTAGGCTGCCCCTAATGGATTAAAACCACCAGTGTAGACTGTCACAGTACTTTCCTCTCTGGTCACAGGTCACATGGCAATCCCCACACAAAACAGTCCTTGCCACTCTCCTATTCGAAGTGACTCTCTGAGTAAGTTCCAGTCTCTGGTCTGTTGGAGACACTGTGTTTTTCTCATGAAGTGTCCTTTCCTCATGAATCCTGACTCCTTGAATATTAAGTAAAGACCATGTCAGCACAAGAGCTAAGCAGTTTAGTCCCCTCTGCCCTATTCGTCTTTATAGAACATGAGATCTTACTGAAAATGCCCCAGGCTGATCCCTGGAGTCACTGAAAGTCTCACATTCAACAGAAGTTTGTGTTCAGCTCCCCCTGCAGTCCCAGGCACTGTGTCACTCAGAGCACAGAAGTACTTGGCCGAGTCGCTCCAAAGGGCTGAGGGTTTCCTCAGGTGGAAGGAGGTTTCGTTCTTCCTAAATTCAGCCTCAAAACTTTTGATGCCTGAAACAAGGCTGTTTCCAGACGTGTACTTCAGGAGAAGCTGGAGTCCTTGGTTGGGATATTGCACGTACCAGAAGAGATATGGTGAAACAGAAGATGTGTATTTGCACCTCAGCTCCAGACGGGCTCCCTCAGAGACGGTGATGTGGACGTCAGGCTGGGTCACCGACTGGGCTCCGGTTCCTCCTGAAACATCAGTGCTGAGTCAGTGAGGCCAGGACAGACTTACCTATTAAGAGAAGGTACTTCTAGGGAAAAAGAGGATGGAACAAAATTTACTCACTCAGGGCAAAAAGTATCATAAGCACTGGCGTGGAAACCAAGCTCATGGCTGAAGAAGCTGTGGGATCCTTTTTGAGGATCTTCCCTGAACAGGTCGGAATATGGCTTAGGAAAAAGCACCCTTGGAACAAGGAAGAATGGGTATGCTTGGTGCTGTAGAATCTCGCCTAAGCACGTTCCTGAGATGTGTGGAAGAGTCTCTTCCTTGACAAATCTGGATGTTTTCTGACTTCTAAACTCTCCTCAGATGTCACTGTCTGCAAAGAGCTCCAGCTGGACACCTCAGCCAGCTCTGTGAAGGAGGAGCTGAGGGAATGATGCAGGTCTTGAGCTATAATTCTAGTTTGTGCAACATTGCCCTCTGGAGGCCAAACAGAAGTAGCTCTTCTAGTAAGTTCTTGCCATACCCCTTGCTATTTCGGGCATAATTAGAGAGGGACTCAGAAAGGAACAGGCTGGGCAAACTCCTCATCTCAGGTAACTGAGGAATATTCATACCTTTCAATTGAAAACACGTATAGTCATAATCCTCACAGATGCACAATTTTTCTTGTCCTTTAGATTTCACTGGCATGACGTGATTTGTGGGTGTTTTGACATTCCGTCCCTCCCTAAGTGAGTGTGTGACCCTCTATGGTCCATACTGTTCACTCCAGGTATGGAGACACATAAGAAGAGAGAAACTAAGAGACTTCACAGAAAAATTGAGTGGACGAGGACAGTAGTCTTCTGAGTCATTGCCCACAACAGATTACACAGAAGCATCAGAATAATCCTTAGGGCGGGGGAATCAGGTCAACTGACCCAGGCTCAGTTTTGGGTATGGAGCTGCTGGCAGGTCGAAATTGAGCATCAAGACAATTAAAACAAAAATATTACTTAGCTGCTGCTAAAAGAAGAAAAAAATCAAGAAAGAAAAAGACCAGTCACTCCCCTAGAACATCTCACAAAATCATCAATTCCAAAAAGGTAAGGCCATTCTAGCAGAATATGTAATCAAGAACTGGGAGTTTTGGGGCCGGCCCTGTGGCTTAGCGGTTAAGTGTGTGCTCTCTGATGCTGGCGGCCCGGGTTCGGATCCCGGGCGCGCACCGACGCACTGCTTCTCCGGCCACGCTGAGGCCGTGTCCCACATACGGCAACTGGAGGGCTGTGCAGCTATGACATGCAACTATCTGCTGGGGCTTTGGGGCGAAAATAAATAAATAAATCTTTAAAAAAAAAAAGAACTGGGAGTTTAGACCAGTAAAGATTTAAAAAATTAAAAAGAAGAAGGTAGGTTCTTCTCAGTAGATAAGTGATTAAAAGAATATAAAAAATGAGAAAATGATAAAAGTATATTGTTTTTATTCCAAAGAAATAAAAATGTAAGTAATTATAAACTGCAGAGGGGAAAAAGGTACAAGAAAGGGGTGACATAAATGTGAAATTATTTTAAGTAACTTAGGGAATTTGGGAAAAGAAAAGCCAACTGATGATGCTGGGAACATTTTTCTTTGGCTATGACATTGGCTTTTTAGAGTGGGAAATGTTCACATTGCCTGGTGTGGAGTAACAAAATAACAAAATATCCAGTTGTAATAATATAATGACATTTATTGTTTCTTAATTTTATAAACCAACATCTAGACAAAAAAAAGAATAAAAACATTTATAATCAAAAGAACGTAAAGGTACAACGTGGGGACAGTGTGTGGGGACAGGGGAGGGAAAGAGCAGGAAGGGCCGAGTAGGAGCGTCAGCAGCTCCGTCTCACACAGAGGAGAATGAGCACTGACTGACGCGGTGGACCAGCAGGTACAGGTAGATGCTTCTTGTCTAAAACTCAAAAGTAAATAGTAATATGACCATCAAGTATAGTATAAATGAGCTGCAAAGTCTGCTTTCACTGTGGAGAATGAATGGATATTAACTAAATTTAATTAGACAATGAGGAGTTTTCCTGTTTTTTATCATTTCAACAAAGGCTGAGGACAATATGGATAGGTTCCTAAAAAATCTAAATTGAGAAGTTAGGCATATCCAACAGGACTTGGTGAGAGTGATAAATTTGTCCTGAAACCCTAAGCCCTTCATCTGCCCCCAGCCTGTGAGAGAAGTTGAGAGATGCAGAGAGGAAGAAAGAATTCTTTGAAAAGTATTCCTAGACAGGGCTCTGTGGCATTTCCTCTGCCTTCCTTTGGGAAAGATTGTTCCCTCCTTCAAGCTAAGCACCAGAATCTCTCAGAAAGCTGGGAAGTACTTGCCAGAAGATGAAACTGAGACATATTTCTCCTCAGCTGAATGCTTGCTGCAATGCAGAATCTTTGCAGGAGAGGCCTGTCCTGCCCTGCAAAGAGAAGAGAGCAGAAGAGAGTTCCTGGGAGAATCTGATATGTGTCCCCTGGAGTCTGGGGAGACAGAGACCGATATTTGACTCTTGTCTGGAAAGATCTGTCGGAAGAGGCCTGCCGTGACCACCACTGTTGCCAAAGGGAGGAGAGAGCAGCAGTGAGACTGAGCCTCACTTGGTTTACTCGAGAAAGAACCCTGCAGAGGGAAGCCAGGCTAGAGCAGCTGGATGCTTGCTCCCACAGAGAGCCCTTCAATCTGTAGTCTTGGGAGTGTGAGGTGAAAATCCTACATGGTCAGTCTACCATCTTTGATCAGAAGTATACTTATATTTCTTATGTATTAATAAGATGGTTTACAAAATGGGCTAGACTCAATGGCAGAAAAGCAGGACATAGCTTAATTTTCTCCATCACTGCCTGTCCAATTTTCCTCTCACTCTCCTCTTTAATATCTCAGTAGATCTCATAGCTTTTACAGTCAATTTCAAGTAATAAAACAGTCTAATTTTCATGTATTAAAAGCCTCACCATATCTACTTTTTTGTGTGCTTGCTATTCCCTTTTTTCCAGCTTTATTGAGATATTATTGACATATAACATATGTAACTTTAAGATGTACAACTTGATGATTTGATGTATTGTGAAATGATTATTACAAGAAGGTTAGTTAACACCTCCATCCCCACACATAATTACTGTTTTTTTGTGGAGATAAATTTTAAGATCTACTCTATTAATAACTAACAAGTATAATACAGTATTGTTAATTATAGGCATCCTCCTGTACATTAGATCCCCAGATATTATTCATCTTATAGCTGGATGATTGCACCCTTTGGTCAACATCTTCCCACTTCTCACCCACCACCCCCAGCCTCTGGCACCCACTATTCTGCTCTCTACTTTGAGTTCAGCTTTTTTTAGATTACACATATAAATGAAACATGCAGTATTTGTCTTTCTCTGTCTGAATTATTTCATTTAGCATATATGAAATATATATATATGTCATTTTCTTTATCCACTCATGCATCAATGGACATTTAGGTATTTCCATGTCTTGGCTTGTTATGAATAATGCTGCAGTGAACACTGGAGTGTAGATATCTCTTTGAGAGACTGATTTCATTTCCTTCAGATATAAACTCAGAAGTGGGATTGCTGGATCATATGGTAATTTGATTTTTAATTTTTTGAGGAATGTTCATTAAGTCTTCTATAGTGATCGTACCAGTTTATATTCTCATCAACAGAGTGCAAGTGTTCTCTTTCCTCCACAGCCTCACTAATGCTTGTTATCTCTTGTCTTTTGACATTCTAATGGGTGTGAGGTGACATCTCATTGTAGTTTTGATTTGCACTTCCCTGATGATTAGTGATGTTGAGCATCTTTTCATGTACCTGTTGGCCATTTGTATGTCTTCTTTGCAAAAATGTCTATTCAGATCCTCTGCCCATTTTTCAATCCAATTGGGTGTTTTTTTGCAATTGAGTTGTATGAGTTACTTGTGTATTTTAGATATTAACCCCTTATTGGATATGTATTTTGCACATCTTTTCTCCCATTCAGTAGGTTGCCTTTTCATTCTGTTGATGATTTCCTTTGCTGTGCAGAAGCTTTTTAGTTTGATGTACTCCCACTTGTTTATTTTTGTTTTTATTGCCTTTGTTTTTGGTGTCAAATCAAAAAGAATCATTGCCCAGACAGATGTCAAGGATCTATCCCTTTTAGTGCCTTCTAGGAGCTTTATGGTTTCAGGTATTATGTTCAAGCCTTTAATCCATTTTGAATTGATTTTTGTGTATGTTGTAAGATAGGAGTCCAGTTTCATTCTTTTACATGTGGCTGTCCAGTTTTCCCAACACCGTTTATTGAAGAGACTATCCTTTCCCCATTGAGTATTCTTGGCTCCCTTGTCAAATATTAGTTGATTGTATATGTGAAAGTTTGTTTCTGGGCTTTCGGTGCTGTTCCATTGATCTATGTGTCTGTTTTTATGCCAGTACCACACTGCTTTGATCACTATAGCTTTGAAATATATTTTGACATGAGAAACTGTGGTGCTTCCAACTTTGTTCTTCTTCAAGATTGCTTTTGCTATTTGGGTCTTTTGTGGTTCCATACAAGCTTTAGGATTGTGTTTTCCATCTCCATGATAAATACCATTGGAATTTTGATGGAGATTTTATTGAGCGTGTAGATTGTTTTGGGTAGTATGGACATCTTAACAATATTAATTCTTCTGATATATGAACATGAGATACCTTTCCATTTATTTGTCTCCCTCATTTTTTTCATCAGTGTCTTGTAATTTTCAGTGTAGTGATCTTTCACTTCCTTTATTAAATTTGTTCCTAATTATTTTAATATTTTTGATGAAATTTTAAATGAGGTTGTTTTCTTTATTTCTTTTCAGATAGTTCATTGTCAGTGTATAGAAATGCAAATGAGTTATGTATGTTGATTTTGTATCCTGCAACTTTACTGTGTTTATTAGTTCTAACAGGTTTTTGGTGGAGTCTTTAGGATTTTCTATATAAAATATCAGATCATCTGCAAACAGACACAATTTTACTTCTTCCTTTCCAATTTGGATGTCTTTTATATCTTTTTCTTGCCTAATTGCTATGGCTAGGACTTTCAGTACTATGTTACATAGGAGTGGTGAGACTGAGCACCTTTGTCTTGTTCCTGATCCTAGAGGAAAAGCTTTCAACCTTCTACCGTTGAGTATGACATTAGCTATGGGTTTGTCACGTATGGCCTTCATTATGTTGAGGTATATTCCTTCTATACTCAATTTGTGGAGTTTTTATCATGAAAGGATGTTGTGTTTTGTCAATTGCATTTTCTGCAACTATTGAGATAATCCTGTGATTTTACCTTTCAGTCTGTTAATGTGGTGTATTGCATTGATTGATTTGCACATGTTGAACCATCCTTACATCCAAGGGATAATTTCCACTTGATCGTGGTGTATGATCCTTTTAATGTGTTGTTGAATTTGGTTTACTTGTTATTTTCTTGAGAATTTTTGCATCTATATTCATTAGGGATATCGTTTTCTTTTCTTGTAGTGTCCTTATCTGTTTTTGGTATCAGGGTCATCCTGACCTCATAAAATGAGTTTGGGAGTGTTGTCTCCCCAAAACCACAGGTTTTTGGATAAGTTTTAGAAGGATTCATGTTAATTCTTATTTAAATGTAAATTCTTATTTAATTCACCCGTGAAACCATCTGGTCCTAGGCTTTTCTTTGTTGGGAGAATTTTTTATTATAGTTTCTACTTCCTTACTCATTATAGGTCTGTTCAGATTTTCTATTTCTTCATGATTCAGTCTTGGTAGGCTGTATGTTTCTAAGAATGTGTCCATTTCTTCTAGGTTATCTTTCTTCTGAGGCCGAATCTGCTGTTGAAGCTCTCTCTTGAATTCTTCAGTTCACTCATTCTATTCCTCAACTCGAGGATTCTTGTTTGATTTTTTTTTAATGATTTCTATATCTTTGTTGAACTTCTTGTTTTGTTAATGTATTGTTTTCCTATTTTCATTTAGTTTTCCATTTGTGTTTTCTTGTAGTTCCCTGAATTTCTTTAAGAGGACCATTCTGAAATCTTTGTCAGACAGTTCATAGGTCTCCTTTAGGGTTAGGCATTGGAGTTTTATTAGTTTCCTCTGGTGGTTGGTTATTCATGGTCCTTGATTATCCATGATCCTTGTGTCCTTGCATTGGTGTCTTAACATTTAAAGAAGTAGGCATCTCTTCCAGGCTTTACAGACTGGCTTTGACAGTCATATTCACCAGCCAGAGATTCTGGATGGGCCATCTGGTGGAGTGTTTAGGGGCAGGCTTACTGCTGAAGTGCACCAAAAGCCCGGGTCCACAGTGGTCAACCTGGCACTGGGCCCAGTCAGGGTTCTGGGTTTGCAGGTGCCAGTTGGGAGCTTGGGAACACAGGAGCTGCCCAGGCTCATGAGAGCTGGCTGGTGCTTGGGAGAGCTGGGAGACTAGCTTCATAGGATCCCACCAGGAGCCTATGGGAGCTGGGAGCAATAGGAGCCACCTGGGGCCAGAGGAGCTGGCAGATACTGGGGTGGATCAAGGGTTTCAGTTCACAGGGGCGCTCTGGGAACCTGGAGCACTGGGAGCTGCCTGGGGTCACTGGAGCTGGTAGGTGCCAAGGTGATCCAGGGAGCCTTGGCTCACAGGAGCCCACTGGGAACCTGGTGCCACAGGATCTACCTGGGGATGCAGGAAGCACCTGGGGCCACTGGAGCTGGCAGATGCAGGAGTGAGCAGGGGAGGCCTAGGTTAGCAGGAGCCTTCAGGGAACTACCTAGGGCTTTGGGAGTCCACCTGGTGCTGAGGCAAGCCAGCTCTGAGGTCTGCAGTGAATTCAGGTACTCACTTTACTCTCCTCCCACAGGGAAGGTGTCTCTCTCCACAATGGGCTGTCTCGGCTTGGGGGAGGGTTGATGAGTGTAATGTGAATCTATCTTTCCTTACCCTCCTCAATGCATATTTTCTTATTTCTGTGCTTCACCCAGTTACTGTAATCCCTCACCTGTAATCCTTGGCTCTTGTGAAGGCCCTTGTGAAGGCAGATAATTGTTCAAATATATGTTTCTGGGGGAGATGAGTGGTAAAAATTCTTATGCAACCATTTTGATGATGTCACTCCAAGCCTCATCTTGTCTGAATCAAAACTTTAGTAATTCATTCAGTTGAAAGCTTCTGTCCTTCCCACACATTTTGACATACATAAAAGATGAATGTTCTGTAGCCAAGCTTCACCTGCCAGGCAAGAAAAAGAAACTTCTAAAAAAATTTTGGTAAAATGTAAAGGAAGTCAACTGACACTGGAATGGGTATTAGTACTCTCAGAGCAAACACTTCCACATGCTGGTATTTAGAGGTTTCAGAAAAATAGCCACCTCTTTACCCAATTGCTTTCAAGGAAATCCTGCCTGCTTACAAGCCCTTGCCACCTACATGGATCTCCAGTTAGTTTTTTTATAATTACTTCATTCTCAAATAAGCCAGGGATCAGCATAAATTTAGAGAAAGTCTGCAATATGAATGATGAACGTCAAGATAAATTTTAAATGACCCTAAAAAAACAAAGATAATTCAGTAAACAGAAAAAAACTTTTCATAAATTCTAATTAACAGTCTGCGAAGAAAAGTTACTAAACAACCAGATCATACTGGAACAGGAGAATAATAGTCTCTAGGAAGAAATGGAATTTGGTAGAATAAATTATACTGCTCAGTGTAGTGGTGAGATCTAAGCCAGTGCCCTACTCTAATGAGCACTTGATAAATACTTCTGCTTCTAATCACTAAGATGAAAGTCCTATCACTAAATAAGAACAGGGCTGTGTTCCTTGATAAACTGTTGACTGCTGGAAACCCAGATGAAAACTCATCCTGGTCTCTGTAATTATACAAAGCTCTGAACATTTTGTAATCATTCATTCTTACAGGCTGTCTTCAGCCTAGAGGCAGAGAGTTACCCATCCATCCCTGGGAACCCAGAGACACCAATAATTCCATGAGCCACCATTTATCTACTTGAACTTTGAAAGCCTCGCCCTGGGGATCATTTGGCAAAAAAGTCATGTGATCTTTATACAGAAAAACAGCTGATCAATTTATTGATTTTTTGTTCAGAGATAAGACCAAGAGATTTATCTCCCCAAAATTTCTTATATTTATTTAGGTCTTCTTCAATTTATGAAGAATCTGAACACACAAAATTTTATGTCATCCTTGAAACAGCTTTGTAGGGTTGGCCGATCAGGTTTAACAACTCCTTTATGAGAAATGATAACACAGGACATTGATAGAGTTTGTCTGATAAGTGCTATTTAAGTGCAGGACTTTTGGTGTGATATTATTTTAACCTCATAGTAATGCTGTAAGATAGTATTATGATCCCCATTTTATGGAGGAGGTATTAAAGCTCAGATCCCATAAGTATATGACAAAGGTCAAACTCTTAAGGGTAACAGGTCTCAAATTCAAACCCAGGATTGCCTGGTTTCCATGCTTATTCTTTTTCCACTCCGTTTTGCTACCCAAGGGCACATAGCAAAGATGAAATACAACTAGAATTAGAATTTACTCCTTCTAATCCCGGTGCTCTTTCTACCATCCCTCAGTGGCTTTCGTTCAAAGTGCTCAACATGCAGATTCCTGTTCGTAAAACTAGACCTTGAAATTAAACCTAATTGTGTTGCTTCCTTATAGTCAGCGACTTCTTCACAGAACACAGACTGTACTCCTAGTTCCCCCATCTTCAAGACAGGGCTCTTTTCCTCTGGACTACAACCAAGACATCATCCAACTGAGATACCATGAACAAAAATGGGATGAAATGCCGATGAGGATAGAGAACATTTTGATCATCTACCCAGGCCAATATTCTACCTATAATTTCCTTTAGGTGGAAATTCCTCTGTAGAGTAGTCTAATGTCTTCCTTAGATAAACACACATGCCTCTCAGATATGGGTATTTATTTTTGTAAGTAGATAGAAACATTACAGAGATTCCCCTCTACTCCACTCTCTCAACTCTCAAGTCAGGAGTGTGGCTGGACCCTCCACCGCTGGTTTGGGCAGAGGCTCCAAGGACTTGGGGATCACTGTGAACTTGCTACACAGATGAGGGTGTCTGAATCTCCAGGCTTCAAATCTGTGATGTTCAGGGAGGTGTATATCTTGTCTTTGTTCAGATGCTGTGAATCTCCTTTCCTCATTTTCTCCACTTGAGAGTCTGGGAATCAGAAACCCTAGGGTTTTTCCAGGACACTATCTGTACCCCATGAAGTACTGGAAACAGTGGTCTTCTTAAGTGCAGTTGAGAGAAGAGCTGGCTCTGTCCTGAACATTCAGTGACTCAGCTCTCTGCTCCACCTTCAGCAGGCTCCTCATCCCTGTTTAGAAAGACATCAGCCAAAGGAGATGAGTTTATGGGCCCTAACACTCCACCATTATTTGTTTTTTCATACTACTACTCCCCCACTCAAACCAAAGATGAGCTAGATGGAAACACCCTCCCATCCCATGGTCTCGCCCTATCAGTCTCAGCAGAAAATATCAAATATTGCTTTCCCTGTTGCCAAAATCAAAGACAACCTCCCATAAAAATAATAATAATAATAACAACAACAATACCCTCATAGTCCTGATGAAGCCACAGGAGCACTAGCAAGATTGCCAGGAACTTTGTCGTTATTCCTGTCTCCCTTGGGCCCCCAAAGGACCCAACTCTGAAAAGTGATAACGACCCAGAACCTCTGTTTCTGCAGAGGTTCACACCAATCAGAAACAAAAACTCTCTCCATCCCCTTCTCTACCGTCATCTGCATTCTCCTTGCCATACCATCCACAACAGGGGAATGTGACGAAAGAAAAGAGAAAGAGGGACAATAGAGAGAGAGAGTGAGATGGCTAAACTCCCAGGAGACTTGGAAACCATCTTGTAGGTGCTTGAAAATGACCAAAGGTGTGCTCAAAATTTGTACGACAATGAATAATAATCCGACACTTGGGCTAAATTTTTCAAAAGCTGAGAAACATGTTGTTCACATTGACTGTGTGCAGTGTGCATGTAAGCGTGTGGAGTGTGTGTTTGCATAATATGTGCACATGTGTGTGTGCACTGTGTGTGTGTGTACACACACGAACTGAGGGGCACCAGTGAGCTAAGAAACAGTAGCATAAATACCAAGATTGCCTCATTTTGAATAACGAGCAGCTCAGGGACAATGGTGACATGAAGACATTGCACTGTATGCCTTTTTATAGTTTTTGAATTTTAGATCATGTAAGTGGAATACCTATTTAAGAAATAAATAAGATCAAAAATTTTTTAAATAGTAAAAGGATGCATGGATTTTCTAATACCTTCTGAAAACAAAATAAGCATTTTAGAAAGCACCACTTTTCAGCTTCCCCCGGGCTGTGGTGCCCACCCCAAGGGGATACTGCACAGGTGCAGCCCCGTCTGTCTCACTGTGTGTTACTCACGATGCAGTAGTACACAGCAGAGTCTCTCAGGGCAGCCTGGGGCAGGCTCAGGGTGCTGGACTTCCTGTCGGCGGGGATGGACAGAGATGCCACTTCATTTGTCACGTTTTTCTTAAATCCTTGAATAAAAAATTGTGGTCCCTTGCTAGGGAACTGTCGGTACCAGAAGATGTACTCATCCGTAGCAATGTTGCTGTGGTTACAGGGTATGTTCACCTCTTGTCCTTCATATGTGTCAATGAAGGCGGGCTGGGTGGTCTTAGCAAGGCTCAAAGTACCTGTGGGAGTAAAAACACAAAACTAGTCCTATCTGGAAATCAAGGTGAATTGAAGATCCATCTCAGCACCCTGCAGCTTCTCTCTCACGGTCAAATCCACCCCACACCCTACTTCCCCACCATACACAGACACATACAATTTACTTCTCAATTTTCAGGACAAATTTTTTATATTTATTCCAAGGACTCCCAGGAGCACATGTATAGACGGGACAGGTCTAATTTCTCCCTCTTATGGATGGACCTGGGGCTCACTAACCCAGAACATCTTGATTGCACTAAGACACCCCTCACATAATGTACATAACTGCCTTGAGAAAACAGGACCTCAAAGCCAGCCCTCAACATCTTGGATAAAGAGCACTGGTAGCAGGTGAGGTTGCAGATCCCTGTCCAGATCCAGATTCCTTTCTTCTTAATCCCAAAATAACTCACCCAAGATCAGGAGCACTGTCAGTCTTGTCACCTGCCTCATATTCTAGGTGTAAACCAGGACCCAAGGTCTAGGCTCTGTTGCTGAGTCTGAGCCTGGGCCAGGATACGAACCAGGGAAGAGACACAGCAGCACCTTCCAGAGCCCACACTAGCAGCCCTCACCCGGGGCTGTCCCCAGGAGCCAGCCAATAGCAGGGTGGCGACTCCTCAGAATGGGCTTCCCTTCAAGCTTCAACTGAACACTCTGGAAGAATAGGGGGTAAAAACTTCCAGCCAACAGCATAGCAACCTGGATTTCCCTTTAGATCTTTGCTAAGGTCTAACCCCTTATAGATTTGGTCCGAAAGAAGCAAATGCAGGAGAGGGTAGATTCTGTCAGGCTCCTTATTCACATCACTTTTCCACAGTCCCAGAAGGTGGCCATCTATTGTAGTCATTCTGAGACACATGGAGCTCTGAGAATAACCGTTCTGACTTGGTACTTTATGCCCAGAAATCCTCCACTGATCCCTGTGTAGCCAGATGAAACAGAGAATCCTAATCTTAGTCCACAAAAGAGCAAATGAGGCCATCCGAACTGGACCTTTCATCTCCTGACACCCTGGTGTCCTTTTATAATCTCACTAGGTTCATATCTAACAGCGACTTCTCAGATCTCACTTAACAAATGTTAAAAACGGGAGCAGACCCCTGACTAGTCCCTACTGACCAGCTAGGGAAGGACATTTGAGGTGGAATCATTCCCCTAACCGGGGAGGAAGTGAAGTGCAGAAGAAGAAAAGACACAAGTTCATAGTCAGACAGACCTAAACCCAAATCCCAGCTCTGCCACCTTGTGACCTTGGGCAACTCATTCCTCTGAGCTTCCGTTTCTTCATCTGTAAATTAGGAACCATAATAGGCACTTTAGAGTCAGCCTATGGTATATAGTCAGCAGTGACTTGTAGTTCCTTCCCATCTCCTTCCTTGTCATCTGAATCACGTGCAGTTTACCACAGTCGGTAGAAAGCACTTGTATGGGATTATATACGTGACTTTTTTACCACCATTCACTCTTCCTTCAAGAAATGTCCGATATAAACTCAATAACAGTAACACACACAAAACATTTTTAAATAACAGCCATTCAGGAAAAGAGTCAAATCGAAAGACACCATAATGTTAATTGAATCAGTCAATCGCAGTAATCAAAACATGTTAGATACTCACATTAACGTGGAAAAGATAGTGGTGTGTTGTTTGAATTCTTTGATTACATAATATTGGAACAGAAAATCACTAGAAAATATTTGGGAAGTGCCTCTTCCAGGTCTAGAATTGCCCAAGGTACTGTGAGTGAGCAATTTTTCCATGCAAAATCTCAGTGAGCGCCGATGACTTCTAGGAACGTTTCGAGAGAATAGATATCATAAAGCAATGGAATAAATAACCAGCTTGCCCTCAGTATCAAGTGGAGGAGAAAGGAAGTATTTATGAGGGAGCTGAAGATGCTAGGACACCTTGTACAGAAATAAAACATAAAAGGGTTACAGTTTAGACTCAACTCGTTGCAACAGCGACCCCTTGTGGTAAATATACTTGGACAGAAGAAATGTTTCACAAAAATCGCTAGATCTCAGACCCATGCACTTATGGAACATCACATTTCTTTTTTTAAATGCAGTAGCAGCTAGTTTGGCTTGGTCGTGTGGAGCATGGAGTCTATTTTATGGGACAGAAGAAATACTGAATGAGGAGTTAGACAAACTGGATTGTAAGCAATTCTCTGGATTTGCTGGTTGTACAATTTGTGCAAATCATTTCCCTTCTGAGGGGCACAGTTTCTTTATCTGTGTAAGAGAGATTACAGGGCTCGGTTAAACGAGCACAAGAACGTTCTTGCTAAAACACAGTGTTCTATACAAACACAAACTATGTTTAACGTAGGAAATGTCACAAGATCAAAATGATCTTACATTTTCAGGCCAACAAATGGAATTTGATGTTTCTGTGTCACCATCTATTATCTCACTTAGGAGAACATTACTGGATATCAAGCAACTAGAGGAAGAAACACCAAAAGTTTTTCTATGTCTCAGCCTTTGGAATGAAAGTAATCATTAATTGTTGTGGTGTTGTGTGTTGAATTGTGTCCCTCCCCCACCCCAAAAAAAGATATGTTAGAGTCCTAATCCCCGGTACCTTATTTAGACATAGGTCTTTACAGAAGTAATCAAGATAAAAGGAGGTTATTTGGGTGGATTCTAATCCAGTATAACTGATATCCTTTTAAAAAAGGGAAATTTGGATACAGAGACAGACACGAATAAAGGGAAAATAATATTAAGAGACACAGGGAGAAGATGGTCATCTACAAGCCAAGGAGAGAGGCCTGGAAGAGATCCTTCCCTCACAGCCTCCAGAAGGAACCATTCCTGCTGACACCTTGATCTTGGACTTCAAGGCTCTTTGGACTTTAAGCCACCTAGTTGGTAGTATTTTGTTATGGCAGCCCTAGCAAACTAACACATGGTGCTAATAATTATATATTGTATATGTGCTCCTTTGAAAAACATCTTTTGTGTTCAAAGGATCTGGATAAATGCATAATATGCATTAATGCTATTTGCTATACACATATGTATATACATATAATAAAAAATCAAAACAATTGTTAAAGCAAATTCTAGAAAGTTCCGGAGGTTGAGAGGGAAAATCATGCCCTATATAGCAAGAGCCATCAAACAGAGGAACATTTTAAATTTTTTAAAAGTGGGTCTTTTTCTGGTTATTAAAATAATGAGTTCTAAATACAGAATTTGGAAAATATGAAAAAGTATAAAATATAAAAATCATGCGTAATGCCATGTCCCAGAAATATGATTGAATAATATTTGGGTATATTTCTTTTCAGTCTTTTGTCTATGCATAAATATTTTTAACAAAATTGGATTGCATGTGCACACACACACACACATTTGGGTACTCTAGGTTTTTTTTTAACTTAAAGTTATTTCCCAAACATTTTTGCTTGTCAATAAATATACACAAAATTTCAATTTCAATGGCTTCAAAACATTCCATGATAGAGATGTACTATAATTTATTTATCAATTTTCCTAGTATTAAATATTTGGATTTTAGAAAGACTACTATGATAAACACCTTTGTATGTAAATCTTTGTCTACACTTTCAATTATTTCTTCAGACTAGCTTCTACAAAGGGGATTTCCTGGATTAAAGAATAAGGATATTTCCATACTCTTGGTAAGTATCAATTTACTCAAACAATATTTGTGGAGTCCCTACTTGGGTCAGGCACTGAGATAGGCACTGGACATTCAATGATGAGAAGGACCCAGTGGTCTAGTGATAAGGAAGTAGAATTTTAAAAGCAGTGATAGTCCTCTGATAACTGCTGTTATAGGGAAAGTACCGAGTACTATAGGAATATACAGGAAGAGAAAGTGCTTTGGTTGTGGGACTTCAGGAAGACTTCCCAGCCGGGGTGACACATGAACTAAAAGCTAAGGGAAGAGGAGGAACGAACCTAGTAAAGAAAGAACCTGGGCCAAGTAGGAAGAAGTAGGAAGTAGGAAGGCAGAAGGAACAGTATCTGGACAGACCTAGAAGCAAGACAGTGGATGGCACTTGAGTAGATGGTGGTGCCATTGTTTCATATAGAAAATGAAAATAGAAGGAGTAAGTTTGTCTTGTCTTGTTTTGTTTCATTTTGTTTTGGGAAGGGGAAAAGATGAAGAGCTAAGCTCTGCACCATTCAATTTGAGGTGCCTCTGGATTCTTGCAGAGGACCCAGTGAAGCTCACTATGCAATCAGAAAAAGATTAGAGGAGGGAGGACTGGATGGAGGATAAGATGGTTCTGTGGAGGGTGGTTTCTCCTGAGGGGAGGTATCCCCCTAGCATCCAGGCAGGGGCAAGTTCTCACGTGGATGGAGCAAGTGGCTGTCTACACCCAGTGTTCTCAGGAAAACCAGGACTTTTCTGCCTCCCAAAATGTTTCTCTACCCCTATCTTCTCTAATATGCTTAGAATTATATTTTAGGGACAAAAACTATGATTCCACAAGTAATAGAAAAAAATGTTGTTGCTTAAATACAATTTAACCACAATGTAAAGAAACAATATTAGCTCCTTTCCTAAAAACAGGTTTTCAGGTATACAAGATGGTATTAGAATACAGGTCCAACTGATGTGGCAATGGCCAAGGTAAAGTAGCTTAAACAAGATGGCAGTTTATTTTCTTCTCATGTTCAGTCCAAATATAAGAAGCTGAGAGAAGATATAGGAGCTCTTAGTGTTGGTGACTGTCTTAGTCCATTCAGGCTGCTATAACAAAAATATCATAGACTGGGTGGCTTAAACAACAAACATTTATTTCTCACAGTTCTGGAGGTTGGGAAGTCCAAAATTAAGGTGCCAACAGATTTGGTGTCTGGTGAGAGCCCACTTCCTGGTTCCCGGACCACCATCTTCCTGCTGTGTCCTCACAAGGAGGAAGGGGTGAGGGAGATCTCTGGAGGCCCTTTTATGAGGACACTAATCCCATGCATGAGGGCTCCATC